ACATCTCTGCAAAAACTGGGATGCTGGCAGTCTCAATTCTGCAGGTTAATACTGTAATAAAATGCCTGGTAGCAGCAGTGGTAGAAGAAGAACGCATTAAATACAAGGAGAAAATGAAAGTCCAGCATTCAAGATCTAAGGGAAAAGTAGTAGAGGGAGGCGTGTGGTGCAGTGGGTTAGTGCGTTGGTGTTCTGATCAGGGGAGCACAGGTTCAAACCCCACTGCAGTCAGCATGTCGTTGTGTCCCTGAGACACTTCACCCCAAATTGCTCCTGTGGGGATTGTCCACAGTATTGAGTATGTAAGTCGCTTTGGATAAAAGCGTCTAACAAGTGACATGTAATGTCATACTGCCTGTGCTGCAGCACCTCTTTTCACCCTCTGTCTGAAACCAGAGCCCAGTCTGCTCTGATTGGTTAGCTGGTCGGCTCTGTTGTGATTGGTCAACCGCTTAGAGATGTCCCGCCCCTTAGCCTCTCACGTACAATGTGTTGGAGCACTAGCCAACAGAAGCACGAGTGTTACTTAGTGAAGTCATTATGTTACGGAGTCCAATGGAGGCGTTTCAGGCAGGGGGAACTTTGGGATTTTAGCATTTGCAGACCATTAACATGCACTAAAACCTATATAACACACTAAAGGAGAGGTTAAACCCCAAACAGCACCCTCTATGTGTACACTACTGGAGTAAATATGCTTAGTTTCTGTCCACCAAGTCATTCCATTTTGATTTTCCGAAGTTCCCAGAAAATGTTTCAAAGGACTTGTCAGGATTGTTTGTGATTTCTAGTGGAAAGTAGTGGAGCTAGCGGCCGAGTTAATGCAGCCGATATATCAGAAGCCACTTTAGGCTGCTTTCAGGAGCCAAATGGAACAACAAGGGAGCAGTCTGCTGAAATGTAGCTCACAGGCCATTTGGAAAACACTCTGCTGCTGGAGCTGTATTTATAACCACAGCTACCACACTCCACATGCTACTCTGCCAGCACAGGTCAATGGGAATCTGGTTTTAACAACATTTAAAAGATTGTAGTTTGATCAAATGGATCGATGCAGAGGAATCTGGTTATGAAACATCTTGAATTGTACGATACTATTGATTTGACATGTGATTGTGGACAGCCTGTGTGTCTGCAAAAAGAGGCACACATGGCTTTTAAATGCTTCACTGTCTCCAACAATGGCAGTTAGAGCTAATTGTATCAGGTGGTGGATGCATTTGATTTGATTTATTTCAAACATGTAAAACAATAATACAAACAATTATAATAATAATGAAATGAAACATGAGAATTATGATAGTGTACAAACTTAAGCAGTGTCAAATTGATAAAGAAAAACTATTATTGTCTTACAAATTATATATAAACAAATGATCTACTTAATTACACATCCGAAAAGGGGTGGGAAGAAGTTTACACTTATTTTAATCCCACCCCTTCTCCCAAAAACTACATTATTAATAACATATCTTTTTTTGCTTTCATTTATCTAAATGCATGTCTACATAGTGCATACACTATACATGTACAATTATAAATAGATGATATCATTATTACTACAATATGTATATATATATCTTATTCTTTTACGTTGTATGTCATATTTTATAAGACAAATATAAAAGACTATCTTTTTACATCCACCATCCAATGTATAAATGTTGTTAGCATCAACATCATGTCCTTAAATACAAAAACACCAGAACATACAGATTATACTACCACTTTAATCTGTATTATATCAGGTAGCACTGATGAAGAAGATCTGCACATGCACACTTTCTCCTTTGCTTGTAATCTGGACACCGGGGAAATGTCTTTTAATGAAATATGTGGAGAAGTGTCTTTAGGAATACATATTTGATTTTGGAGGTGAATCTCTCTTCAAGCTCTAGTGGCCTCAACCCCACTTTTAAATCCCCAGGATCCCTCTAGAGCAGGGGTGTCAAACTCAATTTCATCGCGGGCCACATTAGCATTATGGCTGCACTCAAAGGGCCGGTTGTAACTTTTAAGACTATATAAATATACATATATAAATATATAATATATATAAAATAATGTATTATATTACATTATTGCCTCTGAATTGGATTGTTATCGGATAGAGTAATAACTTAATAATTAACTACGTCTTCATTTCTTACCATTGCTTTGCAGATGATCTGCAGGTACCTGCCTATAAAAGCAAATAAGGAATCTAGGATTGCCTTGCTTAGCTGTCTGAAAGACATCAAATCATGGATGGAAATCAACTTCTTGACTCAACGAAAACAAGACAGAGATTATAATATTTGGAGAGTCTGAACTCCTGGATGGCTTTAATAGTGTACTCGGCCCCTTAGCCTCCTACAGCCGTCCCTCTGTCAGAAATCTTGGAGTCATCTTTGACAACTGTTTTAAATTCGACCAACAAATAAGCTCAGTTGTCAAGACAAGCTTCTTCCAGCTGCGGCTTCTGGGGAAGGTAAAGGCCTATCTTCCTAGTAAGGAATTTGAACAGCTAATCCACCTATTTTTAACGTCTCGTTTAGACTATTGTAACTCCCTGTATATTGGTGTTGATAAGTGTTTAATCCGTCGCCTGCAGCTGGTCCAAAATGCGGCTGCACGCCTTCTTACTGGGAAGAGACGTTATGACCACATCACACCCGTTTTGGCAGACCTTCATTGGCTTCCTGTCAGTTACAGGATCCAGTTCAAGTACTTACTTGTTGTTTTTAAATCATTGCATGGACTGGCACCACATTACCTGTCTGAGTTGTTGCACCGCCATGCTCCAGCTAGAGCATTGCGATCAGCTCAGCAAAACATGTTGGTGGTTCCTCGGTGCAGGAAAAAAACCCGAGGTGACAGGGCTTTCAGTGTTGCAGCTCCCAGACTGTGGAACAGCCTCCCAGTACATATCCAGACTGTGGAACAGCATCCCAGTACATATCCAGACTGTGGAACAGCCTCCCAGTACATATCCAGACTGTGGAACAGCCTCCCAGTGCATATCCAGACTGTGGAACAGCCTCCCAGTACATATCCGGACTGCTGAGTCTATTGAACTTTTTAAATCTCAGCTAAAAACTCACCTCTTTGCACTGGCTTTTAATACTAGTTGAACATTACATTTTTACATTTGTATGTGTTTTTTTAAATATTTTTCTAGTTATTGTGCTTTTTATCATGTTTTTAATTATTGTTTTATTATTGTACTCCCATTGTGTTATTTAATATTTATTGCCTGTACAGCACTTTGGTCAACTGAAGGTTGTTTTAAATGTGCTATATAAATAAATAAAGATTGAGATTGAGATTAAAGCAGAAGTCCAGGGGAAATAATTGCAAGTCTCTTCAGTGCGCATGTCACAAAACGAGATGCATTGTGGGACATGTAGTTTATGGGCAACGTGCTTCTGTAAATCGTCATGTAACCGTATAATAAACGTATTATATTCACATAACATGAAGTCGCGGGCCGGATTTGTCTATGTGTAATAAAAAAGGAAAATACACTTAAAAGAGTTCATCCAAATGCAACGTCAGTCTTAGGGCTCCACAATGAATTGATAAGAAAAGGCAATATGGAATCGTGTAATATCAAAATAGCATAAAAGTGTAATATTTGGTCAAATATATGAAAATATATGAATGAAGTCCAAGAGGTGCAGATTCAAACTAATTCTACTGAGTTAATGAAAACAGATCAGAGCCGTGGCCTTACTGCTTTTCCTCATATGGTGCGCTTTCTGGGAAGATGATTTTAATATCTTGATACCCTGGAAACTATTTTTTAGAACTATATACAAAACAACAATTGATTATTATTCAAGAATCTTCCATCTGAAGATTTTTTACAAGATTACCGCTACAAAAAAAAAACTCAACATCTTGAATATTGAACCATCACCATTATGTAGATTCTGTGATGAGGAAGAGGAAGACCAGATGCATTTATTTTGTTATCGTCCATATGTTGCAAGTCTGTGTGATGAGATTCAAAATTGGCTTAAAGGTCACCTATCATGCTATTTTTAGGCAATAGCATAGGTCTCAGATATATACAAAAAACATGTCTATGAAGTGTTTTGCTCAAAATACCAAACAGATCACCCATTCTAGCCATGCCTCATATCCCTCTATTTCACTTCCTGTTTCAAAAGTGCTGATTTGGGGTATAAAGCTTTAAAAAAATAAAAAGTTGATGAAAAATAAAAAAGGAGGGGTCTGAGCTCATGCGGGACCCGGCAGCTACTGTCTAAACTAAATACTGCCGTGATGAAACGCCATATCATGGATTATCAAGGATTATCTCTGAAACAGTATGGAGCTCAAAGGCTTTCTCTCTTGTTATACCACAAGGTGAGTTCCTTTTGATTTCCTGCTTCTTCACACACATGCTCTCCAGTACAGGTTAGCTCTGAGTGTTAGCGATGCTAATGTAAACACCGACCATATTACGTCCAAAACAGTCGGGCATTGTTTCTGATAGCGACTTTCTGATTGGGCCGTGGGTCCACATTTCAGATATTACGTCATATCGGACGCAAATCTGGATCAGCTCCGTTGTTCCCCCGTTTTTAGAGATTTGGGTACGGAGGAAAAGAGAGAGGGTTTTATTTTCTGATGCTGCGTGAGTTCCCTGACACACCGGGGACACATTTATATGTATAAAAGACATCAAAAAGTACATTTTGCATGATAGGTCCCCTTTAAATAAAAGAGCCCTATTGCACCTGAACTAAGAACATCCATAACTTGTATATAGACTCTTATGGCACGACTTCTATTCTATTTTATTGTATTTACTTGCACTATTTTATTTGTTTATTGTGTTGCACTGTTGGAGGAGCCTGGGACCTCAGATTTTCATCGACATAACTACTGTACACTGTAGCTATGTACGTATGACAATAAAAGCCTTGCATCTTGAATCTATTCTGCTCATTTGCAGGTTGATCTTAGTACTTAGTGCCTCTACTCTGCTCTGTGTACACAGTTTTCTGTACCTGGGGTTTCCAGTGGAGATGATGGCTGTGGAGCTCAACAGTTCTTCGTAAAGATCGGCTCCTGACACGGGGAACGCTGCATGTTGAGCCAGAAGAACTCGACGGATAGCAAACAGAGCCTGAAATACAGAAAATACAGCGTGTGAGGATCAAACTGCATGAAGGGGGGCCAGACTGGGTCGATTTCCGCCCAATTATGCCCTTGTGATTACAATCCAAAAGCATGAGGTGAAATGTTGTCTTTTTGCTCTTTCCATGACTTCCCATTTCATATTTGATTGCTGAAGCTACGGTAGGCAACTTTCCATTTAAATAACACCAGCAGGTCATTTACAGAAATTTAATCAGCAACAAACTAGTCAGGGTTAAATCTCATACAACAGCTTTTATCAAGAACCAACAGCACTTTTAGGTAAAACAAAAACGTGTTAGTTCAGGATAGCCGTGGGATTACCAATTATTTTCTTTATCAATTAGTCTGGTAATCTTTTGTTAATATTTAAAGGGCTGTATAAAGATATTTAGGTTTAGGAAAATGTATAAATAAAGATTGTTTTTCATGTTACTGTAAAATGATCTTAAGTATTGGCAGCTGTGATTGATTGACCAGACATTTAACCAACTAACTACCCAAATAATTTGATTACAAATGGAACATTTTTGGGAAAGATTGCCACGTATTTTACTTAGAAGATAAATAATAGAAAATGCTGGGGTGTTTATCTTGGTTTCCTCCGTACTTTTATGGACAATGGATGACCAATCATGTTTTGTAATGTGTGTATTGCATTAACTTGTACTAAATAACAGATACAAGCAGTGGAGTGGGAGTATAAGTAGTATGGCATAATATTTGACGAAGATTTGTCCTTCATATCTCACACAGCCTTCTTTCATCTCCACAATATAAAAAAACTAAACATCAGACCCATCCTGACTCAAAACGATGCAGAACAACTCTACTTTTATAACATCTAGGCCAGTGGATCTCAACTGGTCAGGCCTCGGGACCCACTTTTTTCCTTTGTCAATAAATCGCGACCCGAAATTTTGAACCACTCAAATCTATTCAACAAAATATCGTGCTGTAATATATACGCTTTTCAGCATACAATATTAATTAAAGTGAAGTACAGTGCATCCCTTATATCCCTTCACAGAACTAAAGCATGCTTTTAAAAAAGGTTTAATGAGATGATGTAATCAAAGCTGAACTAACATCAAAAGGCACTCATGCTGAAAACCCAACCGCAGAAGGGGGGTCTGGGGGGATTCTCCCCAGGAGATTTTTAGAAATACTAACATATAAACTACACATTCTGGTACACTCTGAGAAGAAAATAAATACATCTATTACTACCCGACATATTCATAATATTTGATGCCATTGTTTGTTTTTCACTTTGTTCTGACAGCTTGCTGCTCCTCACAGAGAGAAGAGAGAGTCTGTGTGAATTACTTTAAATTGTGGGTAAGGGTAGATAGCCCCCATTGTTCTGTGAGCTGTCAATCATCAAACCGGGGGTCATATTTCATTATGTTTTATTGAGAAGATGATCACTACGTGACAGAAGTTTTCAAAACCGTTTATGGTCTCCTGTACTTCCAGTCCAGCGCCTACTGCATGCACAGCGTTAGAAAATCGGGCCTTCAAAATAAAAGTTTGACTTTTTTCCACAAAAAAAATAAAAATGTTTCAATTTTTTTCTTCACTCACACATCTGCGACCCACTAGAAACGGGTCGCGACCCACCAGTTGAGAACCACTGATCTAGGCTGTTAACATACATTTTAACTGATACTAAAGAACTCTGTCATTATAATAAAAAATAGGAAAATAACGTTTTAAAACAACGTGTCCATCACAAGTTTCCAGAACTCAAGGAAACAAATAATACAACAATTTAAAACCAAACAAAAGCAGAAAGTCCTAATGTTTGAGCAAACGGACCAAGCAAACATTAGATCTTTTTAGTTTGATAACCTAAAAAGGGATTTGATTCTGGTGAGCACTTTGAAATATAATGGAAGAAACATTTAGATTAGTTTGAAGTGTTGCTATTAGCCGCGTTCACACCAAGTACTTTGCCGTATTTAGTGCCGGCACTCAGAGCCCCGGCACTTATGACCCCAGGGCATTTAGTACAGATCGCGTTCACACCGGAGTACTTTTCCCTGAGGGAAGATTACGCAAATAAGCCGCTGACGTCACTTCGTCTTCTTCTGCTTTGGGTTTACTGGCAGGCTGCAAACCACTTCACGGCGTATACTGCCACCCGGAGTCCCTGGCCGGAAGTCCCCGGAGTTGGGGAAGGCTTCAGTAGAAGCTGCTGGGACTCCCAGCAGCTTCTACTGAAGCCTTCAGAATAAATCGCCAGAACGCCGACACCTCCTCATCTCCACCGCTCCCATGTTTTGTTTTGTGTTGCCATAAGTTAGTCTCTCTGCGTTTGTGCGCTGGGCGAATGCTAATGCTAATAATGCTAATGCAAGGATAATAAAATGGCGGCTCTACAAAACATTTCAGAGTTGTACGGGGCGTGGTTTGCAATTCGCCCAGCCAACCAGAACTGGGGCACTTTTTTCCTCCAGGAAAGTACCATCTCTCAGCAGGCACTAAAAATGGGGGTAAAAGTTCCCGAGATTAAGTGCTCTTTTTGGTGTGAACGTGACATAAGGGGTACTAACGGAACTAAACGCGAAAAGTACGGTGAAAAGTACTCCGGTGTGAACGCGGCTATTGTGTTGAGATTGAAGCCAACAGCCTATCGAAGGCTTTCTCCAGCGTCCGTATATTTAAATTGAACACCTCCCAACCGTGCATATTGCTTGCCATCAAGACATTTTAATTGGCAAACGAGTTTACTCATCTCTCAACACAATTGCTTACCCAATTAAAGTAATCACATTTCAGTTGAGACACACTAAGCCTCTTGCCTTTATTTCACTATTAGCACCCACAGACTATGGGAACAGACACATAAACAATAAGCCATCATGTCGTAAATTATAATGGAGTCGAGATAATGTTGCAGATGGATCGTTATCACAGCAGACATTGATCCGAACCTCCTAATAGGACAACAAAACCACAAAGAAAATGTCCCTAAAGCAGAAGAAAAATAGATATGTCTCCGTCATTAAGGAGCTCATTGATTCTTGTTTCAACACCTGAATCCCTAAGAAATTCATCTTTTCATACAATTGGCAGTGCACTCCAGCTAATGAATAAAAAGCTTCCCACCAAATCACACACTACTCGCTGTTTTCATATTAAAAGGTGAGAAAACTAAAACCCCTCGATCCCACTCGGTGATACCACAGGAGAGAAAAAGTAGTCCTCATTACGTAATTGGATGTTTCACTGACCAATCAATCACACACTGACGCTGAGAGGCTTCTGAAGTTTTCCACATGCAACTTAAGGATCAGGCCGCGATACAAAATACATTTTCCAACTTCTAATTCTGTCCCTGTCTTCATTATTCAGCCGTCTCTTGGTATCTGCCAGGAAAACCCTCTCCTCGTGTAGAATGTTAATATATATATGTTGATGATTCATTCGGCACTCGAGGGCGCATAGATGAATGTATTCAATGAAATTAAATATAGGCCAACCCACTCGCATCATATGGAGCTGCAGTGTTAAGCTGGCTACACACCAACCCGATTTTGGGAGTCAGAGGCCGTCAGAGGCAGTCGGGCATTCGCGGCGCCCTACTCAGGTTGGTGTGTCCCGCACCGTCGTTTCTTTACGGCACCTTTTCACACCGCGGGAGGTCAGAGAAAGTCGGCCCAAGCAATCACTCTGATTGGCTGTTCACACTACCGCTGCCTGCTGGAAGGACAGTTATTGCCACTCGTTGACTGAAGTATTTGCGGTGTGTTCGTAGGCGGGCGGCGTAGCGGGCTGCGTAGCCGACGCAGGCGACGAAGCTGACGTAAAAGTCGGGACGCCTTCGGCACGCGTTCTTTGGTCTCAGGTGGGTGTGTAGCGACCTTTAAAGCGATGTTTAAATTGACCCTTTGCCTCCACATCTAATACGGAGTTGATGGTATTGACTCTACCACTGCTGCGGTTCTGTATACAGAATTAAAACACGTGATTTTACACTGCCTTACTCACTTTAACTGCATGTTATACAACTTTCCAACTCGTAATTGATGTGTTTACACTGTCGTTGCTTTCAAAGCATGCTCTTGTTCATCTCAT